TCAATTATCTGTCGATGTAAGATAAACAAGGTTCCATATAAGATAAAAAAGCAACTTTACTTCTTGGTCGTATTAGTGAATCGATTTTAATACATTTTTGGAACTCATCAGCAAATTGTGCATAATTGTAAGAAACATAAAATAAATTAGCTAAGGAATCTTATAGACATCTTTTGTTCCACGTCTGTTCGTTCTAGTGCCTTACAGAACTCTTTAAATGATATCATTCCATCACCGTTTTCATCAGCTTCTAATATAGTTCTTTCTGCGATACTAGTTAACTGTTCCTCACTGGAGAAAAAGTTGTGAATAATTATTGTAACTCTTATTTTATAATAGATATTAGAGAAATCAAAGAAAATTCTTACCTAATGTTAGCTCCAACCATCATATGCAAAATAGCTAAAAGCTCATCTTTTGATATTAAATCATCATTATCCAGATCGTACATTTTAAATGCAACTAGAAAAATGCAAATATCGTTTAGTAATATACAAATGACATTAAATTGTTTTCAATATTATACTTACACTTCAATTTCTGTTGTCTGGAATTTGATCTGTTAGGACTGTTTTTCTTAATGGGCCTAAAACGAGCTAGGACTTGCATAAACTCTAAGAAATTCACTCGGTCATTCCCGCTTTCCTCAAAAAATGCATTGACAATTCTATCACCCAATGGATTTATTGCCAATTCTGGGATTCTAAGGAAATCTTCGCGGCTTAGCGTGCCACAATCACCACGGTCAAGACTTGTAAAGCGACTATACAGGCGTTCAATTTGATTTGGAGTAACTATAATTATTATAAGTCATGATTATATATTAATGGCTCTGCTTGTGAGATGTATCTAAATGATTGTAGTGGAAAATGACTTCACAATATCACAAATTTGACTACCTAAAATTTGTCTTGGCCTTAGCATATGTGCATCTATGTACATATGCATATACATGTATTTGATAATAATAAATATTTCATACGTTAAAAAATATGTAATGAAACTTACATCCAGTGGCATCCTGGATTCGTGCTATTTCCTCTTCTCGTAAAAGTAGACTAGATCTATTACCCATGTTTCTTTTTAGCGGTAACACTGTCACGACGAACTAATCTCTTTAATCTTCTATTGCGTTACACTAGTCTCCTAAATCATATTTATTTGCCCGGGTCAAAGTGCACTAAGTACAGAAACAAGGAGTCGACAGGTGACAGGTTGATCACAAAAGTCAAGGTATATATGTCGTAATTTCAAGATAAAATAGGAGGAAATAAAACTGCATGCAACACGGTTAGGGTTTTAGAGCTTTCGGTTCGGTACAGTGCTGCACCAAACAATCAACGACTTAATTAGTGCAACGTTATGTAGCATCGATCAAAACTCAAAAACCCACTTGTACATGACACACACACATATATATATACAACTTGTATTTCCACCACATACGAAATATAGAAACCAATAGAAACTTCTGTGATTTGAAGTTACTCTGTCGGTAATGATTCTGTGTAGTATATCGAATCAGGAAAGGAACTACCTTTAAATATTTGATAAACGTAGATAATGTCAACTGCGTCGAAAGTAACGTTTGGATTATGTTGTTTAACTTCGATTAGTATAGTGATATACGTACATAACAGACAAGAGTATGACAGGTAATTTAAACAAATCCAAATTAAAAGTTAGGTTAGCTAAAAGTGGTGGTCGTAAGTTGAAAGCCGTAATAGTTCCGTCACAGTTGTGTAACAGGGATGATAGTCGATTAAAGACTAAATAGTCAATCTACTAAACATTAAATTATGAAGTGTAAATAAACCCTAGCGGAAAAAAGATTAATGATGAAAGTATTTATAGTTATTTGATGGTATAAACTATGTATAATCAAATTATAATTGTTCAAGCGCATAGTAATTATTTCCATGTTACATGTTGATGCGTGCCGCGAAATGTTATTTGTAAATGACTTTGTTTTCCTATTGTTGTTCCAGAAAACAACTTCATTTAGGTGTAGTACGTGATAAGGAACTACAGGAACGGAGAAGGATACAAAATCTGTATTATCTCCAACAACAAAACGAGTTAACAAAGCAACTTAAACTTGCAGAAAGTCAAAAAAAAGAGCTTGAAACTGTGTAGTTTGTAAACATAATTTAACCTTCAATATTAAATAGTTTGATATTTTTAGTTGTTGTCCTGTGTAACTTTTTTTTAATTAACTCAAGCTTAAACAGTGTTATCCCCATGAATATAATGACTACAGAAGAACCAGTAGATCAACCAGGTAAGTGTAAGTTACAGGGAAAAAAGTATATTAAAGGCTTTAGTAAATTGATTATATTGCATTTTTAAAATTCTAGATCTGATTTGCGTGGAAGAGAGTCTTATGAGTTTTGAAAATCTGGACAGAGCATCGCCAGATCTGTGGCCCGAGCAAAGTGAGTCCTTGTTACAAACCTTATATCTTCCTCTACGTGGAAGTAACAATGTATCATACATGTTAGCCGTTACTGAAGTTCCAGGTGTTAATGAGTTTGTTGCCCAAAATTCACCACAAACTGAGCCATCGTCTTGGGCTGCTGGTCTTACACCAGATGACATAAATCAGCTACATCGTAAGATTTTGCAATTTATTGCATATGGAATATATCTAGGTTCTATGTCTCACAAAAAATAATATTGATCTTGTTTTAGAACTTGGAAATTTGTCGATGACTGGTTTAATAGCTGAAGTAAAAAAATTACACGACATGGCTTATCAATTAGGACTGGAAGAGGCGAAAGAGATGACACGTGGAAAGTACTTAAACATCTTCAAACACAAATCGTAATCTTGGATTGATAAACATGAAATGTAAGTTGACATTCACGTGATACATTTGATAATTAGTTTTTCCATTCTTCGTATAATTAACAATTTTCTAAAATCCAGCGTATATATCTTTGAACATTGATGAAGACTGATGGGTAGTTGTTAGTTGAGTCACAATCGGAACCGTACGACAGGATGCCTAACTGAAAATTGTGTACAAATAACTGTTATCAATTTGTAAATCAAGTATAAGTATAAATGATTTTATTGTAAATATATCGAAGTTTCCAAAACCAAAGAACATAGCATATAATTCTTACCAAGAAATAAGTATCTCCATATTTATATAACAGAGGGCTACCGCTGTACCCGGAACAAGGCATTTCATCTCCTATTGCGCAAAGCTCTACCGAGTATCCTTGCGTATAATAATTTGAACATTCCTGAATCGATGTAATTATCATTTTCAAAGATTGTTGTTGACAAGATTTGACTTAAATGAAATTTAAATACATTATCATTTCGCTTACATACTTGTCAACCCATCGTCATTATTTCATTTCTTACTCTTTTGACTGGAAAGTTTTCCCCATCCGACAAGGACAGAATCGCCAGTTGGATTTATATCTTTGGGAGGTAGACATATTGGCTGCACAGTTTCTAAACAAATTGTGTTCTACGTCTTTACAAACAAGCACTAATTACGAGGTCTATAAGGTGTATTATATTATATATATATATATATAAATATATATTATTATTATTATATATATATTATTATTTAATATAATAATTTATATTATATATTATATTTATATTATTATTATATATATTATATTATATATATAAATATATGTATAAGTAAATATATATTGTAAGGTATATAAGTAGGAAAACACCTGTATATTGTATTGGTTCTCGCAACCGTAGCATTGCTATGTTATTAGCAAATGTATCCGTTTGATAATTTGGATGTTTTATGATGTACGATATATTATATTTCCGAGCGGTACACTCTGGATCAGTTTCGGGATTAAATTGCCCAACAAGTACAAAATTCCTGTGAAAATATTAAGATCAATTTCGACTAGAATAGAAGACAGGAAATTTTGTACATACAATCTATAATCATCGCTCTTTGTGAGAGCACAACTTGCAGTAGTCAGTATTGTTCGTTCGTTTAAAATTACCCCGCTGCAAGCGTACTTCGTTTCCCCAGTCGTGCCTAATCGAAGAATTGCGTAGTATTTAGTGCAATATTTCTCATAAATGTACAAAATCAGTTAGCAAAACTTACCGCAGAAGCCAATCCTCGCAACGAAAGGATACACTCCTAAAGCGTTGAAATTATTACTGGCGAAACTTTTTCCACACTCCAAAATGAAGTTTGATCCCCTAAACGGTGTACCATCCGCTGGAACGAACGCTGGATTTTCAACACGGCTTTCTAAATCACAGCAAACTTTTACCTTGACATTGTCGTAGCCACAAATCGCTTGACGAAACCTGAATTAAATATTAATAGATAAAAAAAAAGATCGATTATCCGACATTCAAAGATTTTCTGTTCACTTTACTTTAAAGTCAACATTAACGGAAAAGAAACTAAGTCTAAGAAACAGAAACATTTGCTCACCTGTGTATGTGAAGCAGATTTTGGTTCATTAGGCTCGCGATAGCTGGACAATTCTCGACGAAAATGCATATTTTGTCATCGGGACAGTTGATCGCATTAGTCTCGTACGGATCGCTCAAGAAACTTTGAAACTGCGCGAAGGCGCAGCACACAAAAGTCACGAAGAAGGAGAGAACAGAGGGGGACAACATTTTTGTTCGATCGACTGACAACGCTTAAAACATATTCCGAACTGAGGTCTCCTGGGAATCCTATTTCGTGACTCGCGGTGAATTTCCCTGCACTGGCTACCTTGGCTCAAGGCATTATTCGTTCTTCCGGCGGAAATCTCATTGTCAGGCAATAAATAATTTTGCAAAAGCTCGCGCTTTTGATCCGCTAAATTGGGCAATGCTTCCGTAACTGGACTATTGAAATTGCTCGATCGTATATCCAATAACCGCTTGTAAAATAGTAATCGTCTATATTTTATTAATCAAGATTACAGAGTTGCATATTAATTTATCAGTATAGCTACAAATTTATTCTCTCTAGAGAGAATAAAAAAGATCTTAATGTTAAAATATATTAAGATATTAATCAAATGTACATCAATGGGTAAAGGTAGCTGATTGCGAGGGATAGCTAATATCGGCAGTGCCACTGACGATTTTCATTAGATTTGATGGCGGTCTCTACGATGCCTGTACTCCTAACAAAGTCCACTGCCACAATATTGGCAGAATACTGCCAAATGGTACTGTACCAATTAGTAATATTAACGTTTACTCTATGCGCCATGTCACGAAGGTTTCCAAGTCGGTTGGACAGTACATCTGCGAAATCCGCCGTTAGTTCCGCCATTGCCGATCTTGGTCTCACCCTGTCAGTACTGAAACAAACAGCAACTATTCAATTAACTAATAAAGCGTATCGTCAACTAATTGTTAAGCTTATCTACCTGTCGTTATTTTCAATACGACCTAGATGCCTGTATAAGTTCTCGATATCTCTGACGTTGCCCCATTGATGCCGAACACAAGGCCACATACTAGCGTGTTTCCGAACAATTTGCGTGTTTTCGTATCCGATTATCAATCTTTTTCCGGAAGACCAAATATCATTCAGCGTGGCAGTCCATCCGCAACAGTTTGCCAGGAAATAATCCTGAAATTCATCCTCGAGATACGACACAAGCCTACGATGAGTCGCCATATCATCGAACCCTGGCAACGATGAATCAATTATTATTGAGAACTATTGAGATTTGTTCGAGAGAAGTTTTGCTAATTAACGGTATAACAAACATGTTTATTTTGAAAGTGGCGTAGGTCGCTGTACTCGGGAAATTAATTGCGGGGCTTAGTGTAAAAGAAATAGAAACGTGTGATAAGTGTGTGTGAAGTATTGTTTTGAATTATTTTCAGTATTTTTAAAAAAGTTGTGATCGCTGGACTTATTTTTATAAGTGCGAAAGAATAGTGCAGTTTTGTAAATTATATTATAGTGATGCCAGCAGATGGCTATAAAATGTTTTATAAACTAACTTTAGATGAAAAAGATGAATTTCTAACTTTGGATTTGTCGCCAAAAAGAGGAAGACCTAGGCGTTATTCACAAATAGAAATGGATCCGTTATACGCTGGATCTCGTCCTGTTTCTTCAGCAAAATACAAAGACACGATGGACTTGCT